CCCGGGCTGGATTCGAACCCACCACCTTAGGTGTATGTGGGTGGGGCCTTAGCCACTTGAGTCACAGGCGCTGAGCCCAAATGATGATTCAGAGTTGAATTTTCTTAAACCTGAGAATATATAAATACTCATTAATTAAACGTTGGAAAGAAAAAAGTTCTTGCCTTTTATATTATGTATTTATGGCAATCTAAAATTAGTTTACCTAGACTGTAAATTCTCATGTTTTTGTTCCTTCTTTACTGGTACAGGGATGGCAAAGACAAAATATTCTCTTTGTTCTAGCAAAGTATGATAATCCAATACATAAAATATATTTTTGGCACTCAACATTTAATAATTTGAGATTATATTATACATTTTAAAAATATAGATATATAGAGAGAATGAGAAGATTGATCTTTCAGTGGGGAGTGATTTAAAAACAACACAAATTAATACCAGCTCAAATTATTTCATTATTTTACAACCAGTTCTGATAGTAAATGTACTATAAACTATTTATACAGCAGTATCTCAGACACTAACTTTCTATACATTTGATATTTTAATTTCTCTTAACTATTTTTAATAAAATGTATTCAGAAAAATTCTCAATGCAATTCTATGCCTCCTTCCTTTAAATTTTTTTCCTTCCATTAAAAGAGTATATTTTATTAAGAACCAGGCTCTAGGTTTATCATGTCAATGAGAAAAATAGTTGGCATCTATAACCTGAGTCATTTAAAAGCATTCTGTAATCAACATCTTCAACATTTGAAAATGCAAAGTGAACAAAATAAAATTTACCTGAAGCGTGTCTAAGGTATTCTGAAACACATCACAAGCTAACATTATTCAGGTTGACAACTTCAAGTTTATTCTCCCAATCAACTGCACATTTGGACACACCCTATTGAGCACACCTGCTTTTACAAGTGGCACTGTCTACAAATACCTTAAAAATATCAGGGCCTACAAAGCCCCTCGTTTCCTGAAACAGTTATTCATAAACTATAACTTTTCATGCTTTCTATTCTTTAATGTAATGGGCCAGATTTAAAAAGAAATCTGGCCCATTAACGTGGTATTTCTGAACATCAGCCATGTAAGCATATGGTTCTAATACCAACAATTCGGATAAAATACTTGGACAATGCTAATTTTTTATTTTGTTTAAGACACTGAAATGTTTTACAGATAAAATAAAAAGACAATAGAAGCCTTTAAAAGTATTATGCTTACTGTTTCTTCAAATCCTTTCGCATGGAAAGAACCAAAGGTTTTCAACTTGGAAACAAATTTGAGGTGAAATGCATCTCGCTCGCAGGTCTAAAGATGCTGACTAACGAACCAGCAATTCCAGCGCCGCTGTGACTTCCTCCGCTGGCACAGGCTCGGGTCCCGGGTGAAGCAGGCAGGGAGGCAGATGGACCTCGGCCCGCCGCAAGCTCACACTCGGGAGGACCGCGGGCCGCATGCTGTCGTCAAGGCAACGACCTCGCTCTGTCCCCAACCATAGGCGCGAAGTCTCCGGAGAGAGATTCGGCCCAGGTCAGAAGGCGTCCACGGCAGGCACCAACACCTGTCAAGGCCAAGACCCGTGGAGCAATTAGCTGGCGTGAGAGGGCACCACCTCCTGGCTCGGGCGGCGCCCACCCAGCGAACCTGCCCGGCTCCCACCAGCCCGGGCGAAGGCGTTGGCCACCCAGCTGCAAGGGGGCGGGTCCTCGCCGCCCGGGTCCGCCCCGAGTGCGCCAAGCCTCCCTTGTTGCGATTGGCCGAGCTCCGTGGTCTCGCGCTCTCATTGGCTTAGCGCCAGCCGCCTCCCTCTACCTACAGCTCTGCTGCCAGACCAGCGCAAGGCCTGCGGCCCCACACCTCTCCCTCTAACGCAGGGGAAAGAAGGTAGTTAATGAAGGGCTGTAAGGACCCGGCAAAGAGGGCGGGCAAGTGTCCCTCACAGCCTGCCCGCTGGGGCGGGGCGCGGCCCCCAAGTGCGCTGTCTCAGAAGGCGCGGCCTGGCCGGCCCGATGCTTCCTTTCTGTTCTAGGTGAGGGTGACAGTCTATATGGTGATGACTTGTAGGTGATGGCAGGACCTGATGCTGGTGGGCTGTGGGAGGACAAACGAGGCAGTGAAAATAAGGGGCAGACTATAGAGATCCAAGAAGGGAAAGAGGCACAACGGTGTGAGGTACGGGTGGCAGCAGGGAGAAGGCGCATGGGACAGCCGTGTTGCGGCTACACGGAGTGAGACTCGGGCTTGCCATAAAACTTGCCCTAAACGTAAAATTGTTCGTGGGACAGCCGATTCAGCCCATGACCCGGCAAGACTGGGGGCTCAGAATCGTGCACATGCTGAAGTCACACAAGGAACAGGCCTCCCAGCATTCAAGGAATTTGAGCCGGCGAGGCCATGAGCCCTGTTACTTGTTTTCACTCATGATGGCCAAACATTTCATAAGCGTATCTGATCTCTCGAATACCATGACTCAGGGAAAAGAATATCCTCGGTAGCTTGTCAATATTAAAGTACTAATAACTAATATTCATTCCTTCTTGCATAATAAGAAAGACGTTTTATTTGTACCCCTTTGAGAGTTTGGTTAGCCTGCGTTAATTTCCCAGTGCTTAATTACCTTGACCAAATTGCTTAACATTAGTTCCAGAACCAGTAATATTGAGGACCAGACTTGGGACCTGGTATGGAAAACACAGAATTCTTGGCCAGGCACACACCTGTACTCAGTCCCAGCTACTCAGGAGGCTGAGGCAGGAGGATCACTGAGCCCAGGAGTTTGAGGCTGCTGTGAACTAGCCCACGTGACAGAACAAGACTCTGTAAGCTACCTCTATTGGAGAATTGGTGATACAAGGAGATTAAAGGAGTTATGGAATCAAGGATGCTGAAGAAAGCACCAATGAAATGGCTTGCCATGGGTTCCAGCTTGATAGAAAGATAAATTATAACAGCATTGAGCTAATAAATTGAAAATAGAGACACTGGGGACCCACTAAAGTTGAGTGGAAAATGTTACCAGTTGAATTCAAAGAAATTTCAGGTCACCGTATCAAAAGTCATTAACATGACTACTCAAATAAGACTACAGTGGAAGATGTAGGCAGGGATATTTTAATCACTGAAGAAAGTAAAATGTTCTAAAAATCTAAAAACAGTGTGGGAGTGCATTGGATGGACATTGAGAGGAGAGTTGAAGAGAAGGCAATGAAGCAAAGGTGAAAATAGGGTAAGGACCACACTTCCACTCCTAGGACTAGTGCAGTGGGCCAGCACCTCCACTCTTAGGTATACACCCAAGAAAAAGGAAAACATGTTCATGCAAAAACTTGTACACCAACACTGATGGCAATATTGTTTATAATAACCAAAAAGTGGAAACAAACCAAATGGCTATCAGCTGAGGAAATAAATAAAATGACATATATATTCATTTAATGGTTACTCAACCATGAACAGGAAGTACTGATACATGCTACAACACAGATGAATCTCAAAGACATTATGCTAAGGGAGAGAAGCCAGGCACAAACAGGCACATACTACATGATGCCAGTTACATAAAGTGTGCAGCAGAGGCAAATCCACAGGGATGGAGAGCAGGTCAGCAGTTGCCAGGGGCTATGGGGAGGTGGGAAGTGGGGGATGACTACTACTGGGGTTTCTTTTTGGGGTGATGGAAATGTTCTGGAATTAGTGGTCATGGTTACACCACCTTGTGACTATAATAAAAACCACTGAATTTGGCTTGGTGCCCATAGCTCAGTGGTTAGGGTGCCAGCCATACACTAGGGCTGGCAGGTCTGGCAGGTTTGAACCCAGCCCAGGCCTGCTAAACAACAACAACTGCAACCAGAAAAATAGCTGGGAGTTGTGGCGGGCGCCTGTAGTCCCAGCTACTTGGGAGGCTGAGGCAAGAGAATCACTTAAGCCCAAGAGTTTGAGGTTGCTTTGACTCCATGGCACTCTACCAAAGGCAACATAGTGTGACTCCATCTCAAAAAAAAAAAAAAAAGCCCACTGAATTGTATAATTTAAAAGTTATTCTATGTATGTAAATTGTATCTTAAAAAATAAACTAGATGGGGTTAGAAATATACAACTTTCTCATCTTTTTCAGTGCATGTATATATTTTAGCTTAGAGTACAGTCATTCTTTTTCTCACATTAGCAATCATCTTTAAAAACTCTTCACAAAAATCATTCTCTACATTATTTTGACAACTAAAAAGAATGTGCTTGGGCCACTGTCTTGCCACCCTTCCTCCACAAAGGCCTCTCATTTAGCCTTCATGAGATCCTGACCTGAGTTTTGCCATCACCTTAATTGAGTTATCAAGTGAATGGAAGGGCCATAAAATCTTCAAGCTAGTCTTCATTATCAGTATATTATAGAACTTGCAACTATGAATACATTTCACAATTCTATTAAGAAAACGGGCCAGGCATGGTGGCTAACACCTGTAATCCTAGAACTTTGAGAGGCTGAGGTAGAAGGATTGGTTGAGGTCAGGAGGTCTAGATCAGCTTCAGTAAGAGATCTGGTCTCTATAAAAAAGTAGAAATATTAGCTGGGCATAGTGATGTACATCTGTAGTCCCAGCTACTTAGGAGGCCAAGGCAGGAGTATCACTTGAGCCCAGGAGTTTGGGGTTGTAGTGAACTATGATTAAGCCGCTAGCCTGGACTGACCCTGTCTCAAAAAAAAAAAAGGATTTTGGCCAGGTCCCGTGGCTCATGCCTATAATCCTACACTCCGGGAGGCTGAGGTGGGTGGATAACCTGACCTTGGGAGTTCAAGGCCTTCCTGAGCAAGAGCAAGATACGATCTCTGTTAAAAATAGAAAAACTAGCCAGGCATTGTGGTGGATACT